CCCTTATCTCACTTTTGTTGCTGGAGAGAGTATGACTTGCCTACAACCTTTTGAAAAAGTAACCTGGAAATGTTAAAGAGCCCATCTGCACTTCATAAGCCAGATGAATGGGTTTGCTTGCTTTACTTCTTTAATAAAGATGTATACTTTAATAAATTGGCTTTACACAACACAATCAAGGTCTCTCATATATATTCATTTATATGAGAAGACAAGGATTGAGTTTAGGGACAGCCCTTTCCCACTGACTCAGGGGGCTGTCCAGTAACACCTCTCTGGTGTCCCTAAGAGGTGCCTCTAACACGGTGATGGCGAACCTTTTGAGCTCGGTGTGTCAGCATTTTGAAAACCCTAACTTAACTCTGGTGCCGTGTCACATATAGAAATTTTTTGATATTTGCAACCATAGTAAAACAAAGATTTATATTTTTGATATTTATTTTATATATTTAAATGCCATTTAACAAAGAAAAATCAACCAAAAAAATGAGTTTGCATGTCACCTCTGACACATGTGTCAGAGGTTCGCCATCACTGCATTCTAATGCAATATTTAGGGAAATAAAAAACCGGAACCTAATAGTCTGACTTTTAATAATCTGTTCTACTAGGCCCTGGCTGAGCACTCAGTAAATTAGAATGTTGTTCTGCTATGCCAAGATAGGCCATGGTTTTGGGTTTGATCTCCAGTCGGGGCACACACAAAAAGCAATCAATGAATGCATAAATAAGTGGAACAGCAAATGGATGTGTATCTCCCTATTCCACCCCCCACCCTTTCTCAAATCAATAAATAAAAATTTAAAAAGAAAAGGGAAAAAAAAGAATCTATCCTGTGGGGATAGAAGTACCAATAAATTATTTATTATTATCCTATCTAATAATACAGAAACATGGTAATTAGCCGTACCTCCGCTAACCCTTCCTATTGTCTAATCAGGGCAATAAGCAAATTAACTGCCAACCAAGATGGCGGCCAGCAGCCAGGCAGCTTGAAGCAAACAGGAGGCTTGCTTGCTTCAGTGACGGAGGAAGCTAACGTTCCCCGCCTGCCTTGCCGGCCTCTGAGCTTGCAGTTTAAGAAACATTGTTACAAATATAGAACCTAAAGAAAACCCCAGAAACCTGCTTTCAGCCAGCTGGGCTTCAGCCAGCAGGACCACAACATTGTTTCAATTATAGAACAAATGCAGATCCCTGCTTTCAGCCAGCCGGGATCTCAGAGCTGGAGTGAGCAGGACCGCAACAGTGTTACAATTATAGAACCCAAAATAACCAGATACCTGCTTTCAGCAGCCGAGGCCTCAGAGCTGGAGCCAAGCCTCAGAGCTAAAGCTGGCCCAGAATAAAAAAAAAGAAAAAAAGGACAGGTGGGGAGCTTTAGTCACCCGCCAGCCTGAAAACAGCCCTCAGCCCCTCACCCAGACTGGCCAGGCACCCCAGTGGGGACCCCCACCCTGAAGGGTGTGTCACCAGCTGCAAACAGCCATCATCCCCTCATCCAGGCTGGCCAGGCACCCCAATGGGGACCCCCACCCTGAAGGGGGTGTGACCAGCTGCAAACAGCCATCATCCTCTCATCCAGGCTGGCCAGGCACCCCAGTGGGGACCCCCACCCTGATCCAGGACACCCTTCAGGGCAAACCAGCCGGCCCCCACCCGTGCACCAGGCCTCTATCCTATATAGTAAAAGGGTAATATGCCTCCCAGCACTGGAATCAGCGGAGCAGTGAGGCCTCCCGGCACCGGGATCAGCGTGACAGGGGGCAGCGACCAAACCCCCTGATCGCCCTGCGGCTCTGTGTGTGACAGGGGGCGGGGCCACAACCTCCCTATCGGCCCTGCTCTGTTCGTGACAGGGGAAGGTGCCCTAACCCCCTGAACAGCCCTGCTCTGTGCCTGATAGGGGTGGCATCGCAACCTCCCTATCCGCTCTGCTCTGTGTGTGACAGGGTGCGGCGCCCCAACCCCCCCCCCCCCCACGGGCCCTGCTCTGTGTGTGACGGGGTAGAGCATAACCTCCCCATCAGCCCTGCCCTGAGTGTGACAGTGGCGGCGCCCCAACCCCCTGATTGGCCCTGCTCTGTGGGTCATAGAGGGCGGCGCCCCAACCCCCTGATCCGCCCTGCTCTGTGCGTGACAGGGGACGGTGCCCCAACTCCCCTATCGGCCCTACTCTGTGAGTGACAGGCAGGAGCTCCTCAACCCCCTGATCGGCCCTGCTCTGTGCGTGACAGGGGGGAGCTCCCCAAACCCCTGATAGGCCCTGCTCTGTGCGTGACAGGGGGGAACTCCTCAACCCCCTGATCGGCCCTGCTCTGTGCGTGACAGGGTACGGAGCCCCAACCCCCCTGATGGGCCCTGCTCTGTGCGTGACAGGGGGCAGTGCCCCAACCCCCTGATTGGCCCTGTCTGTGCGTGACAGGGGGTGGCGCCACAACCTCCCTATCGACCCTGCCTTGAGTGTGACAGGGGGCGGTGCCCCAACACCCCAATCGGCCCTACCCTGAGCGTGACTGAGGGTGGCATCGCAACCTCCTGATCCGCCCTGCTCCGTGCATGACAGGGGGCGGTGCCCCAACTCCCCAATCGGCCCTGCTCTGAGCCCGACCAGGGGCTGCACCTAGGGATTGGGCCTGCCCTCTGCCACCCGGGAGCATGCCTAAGCCAGCAGGTCATTATCTCCTGAGGGGTCCCAGACTGCGAGAGGGCACAGGCCAGGCTGAGCCCCCCCCCCCCCCCCCCCCCGCTGAGTGCACATATTTTTGTGCACCAGGCCTCTAGTTTTTATAATAATAATAGAGAGAAACATCATTGATGAGAGAGAATCATCTGTTGGCTGCCTCCTGCATGCCCCACATTGGTGATCAAGCCTGAAACCCCTGCATGTGTCCCGACTGAGAATTGAACCTTGACCTCCCTGGTGCATAGGTTGACGTTCAGTCACTGAGCCATGCCGGTCTAGCAAAAGTACTAGTATATTAGAACATGAACAGGATGCCTTTGCAGCTTTGTTTTTGTGACAAGTAACTGGAAACAACCCATGTATTCATCAGTAGGAGAATGTTTTTTGTTTTTTTTTAATTTAAAATTTTTATTGTTTAAAGCAGTGGTCGCAAACCTGTGGTCTGTGAGGTCCGAAAGGTTGGTGACCGATGGTTTAAAGTATTACATGTGTCTCCTTTTTCCCAGATTGACCTCTCCCAAGCTCCCCAGAACATGCCCCAGCACATGCCCTCACCCCCTTACTGTCTGTGTCCATTGGTTATGCTTATATGCATGCATACAAGTCCTTTGGTTGATCTCTTACCCCCACTCCCCCGCCTTCCCTCTGAGGTTTAATGGCCTGTTTGATGCTTCTATGTCTCTGGATCTGTTTTTGTTCATCAGTTTATGTTCATTATATTCCACAAATGAGTGAGATCATGTGATATTTATCTTTCTCCAACTGGCTTATTTCACTCAGCATAATGCTCTCCAGTTCCATCCATGCTGTTGCAAATGGGAATAATTCCTTCTTTTTTACAGCAGGGTAGTATTCCATTGTGTAGATGTACCACAGTTTTTTAATCCACTCATCTGCTGATGGGCACTTAGGCTGATTCCAAATCTTAGCTATTGCAAATTGTGCTGCTATGAACATAGGGGTGCATATATCCTTTCTGATTGGTGTTTCTGATTTCTTGGGATATATTCCTAGAAGTGGGATCACTGGGTCAAATGGAAGTTCCATTTTTAATTTTTTTGAGGAAACTCCATACTGTTTTCCACAGTGGTTGCAGTAGGAAAATGTTTTAATAAATTGTCGGACATTTGTATTATGACATTTTGCAACCGTGGAAACATTTACCTCTTTATACTCTTTTTTTTTTTTAATTAAATCTTTATTGTTCAGATTATTACATTTGTTCCTCGTTTTTTTCCCCCCATAACTCCCCTCCTCCCAGTTCCCGCCCCACCCTCCGCCCTCACTCCCCACCCACTGTCCTCATCCATAGGTGCACGATTTTTGTCCAGTCTCTTCCCGCATCCCCCACACCCCTTTCCCCCCCAGGAATAGTCAGTCCATTCCCTTTCTATGTCCCTGATTCTATTATAATCAACAGTTCATTCTGTTCATCAGATTATTTATTCACTTGATTCTTAGATTCACTTGTTGATAGATGCATATTTGTTGTTCATAATTTGTATCTTTACCTTTTTCTTCTTCTTCCTCTTCTTAAAGGATACCTTTCAGCATTTCATATAATCCTGGTTTGGTGGTGATGAACTCCTTTAGCTTTTCCTTATCTGTGAAGCTCTTTATCTGACCTTCAATTCTGAATGATAGCTTTGCTGGATAATCTTGGTTGTAGGTTCTTGGTATTCATCACTTTGAATATTTCTTGCCACTCCCTTCTGGCCTGCAAAGTTTCTGTTGAGAAATCAGCTGACAGTCGTATGGGTATTCCCTTGTAGGTAACTGAGTGCCGGGAGCCGGTCCATGCTTGCTGTTTCAAGGTACCTGGCATATATGGCATACTGTTCTTAATATGTTTGCTCACCTTCTTGGCACTATGTGTTTTAACCAAGGTCTCTGAGAAAGGTTGTTTCCCCAGGTCGGGATTTTCCCCTGAAGTTAGGGAGGGAATAAAACCTCTTAACTAAGTGCCAGGTGGGTAATTAATCACTTTAACTACGAACAATCATGCTTAAGCTACATAATCTTTACTCCCTGGAATGGAGATAAGAAACGCCCTAACCTTTGAAATAGAGATTGATAGGATTGGAATCAACTGGTATAAATACAGATGTAAGAAGACAGAACACACAGAACTAGAGACAGAAGAACTTCGCTGGAGAGAACATGGCAAAAGATCCTGGACTGAACCTGACTACAGAAATGGGCAAGAGAACCTGACTAGAACCTGGTGACTGAACCTGGCTGGAGAACCTGGACTGAACCTGGCTGGAGAACCTAGCAAGAGAACATGGACACAGAACCTGGCTGGAGATCTGAA